TGGCAGTTCTGCTCGAGAACATGTATTGAAGATATCCTCACCCTCATGCAACTTCTAAAACTCAAATGTAAAGCATTTTTGATCGATCTAAATCTGTCATGGTAGCCTCACATCGTGCTAGTTTGACATTGATAATTATTTTTCTTTTTTCGTTTGATTGTTTTGTTTATTTAAGTTGAACGATGATGGTTATATGAAAAGAGGTTTTAGAAAAAATCGAATTGTTTTTAAAATGAAACAAGATAAATATCTTAATATGATGTGCGAGTATGTTTATTACTTGATTTGTTTTCTTTTTGTTGTTATTAAGAAAAACAAAAGAAATGATTTAATTTTTCCTATTGAGAATTCAGATATACGTACATAAATAATCCAAAAAATGAAAAATCTATTTGTCGTTTTAAATATGGAATTTTTAAAAATTTTATTCAAACAAGAAGTGGAAAAATGACTTCATCAGGAGAAGGTTGGACATGGTTATGTTGTAAGTATAAGATAAATTTTGTATTATTACGAAAAAAAAAAATTTCTTTTTTTTTTCTCTTCTATGTTTTAGATTATTATCCATCGGGTGCTGAAGATCCAATAGATGATACAATGATTAATAGAGCTGTAAGTTTTATTTTAAAATTTATTTGTATTAGAAAAAAAACTCAATATTAATATAATGAAATAGAATTCTAGATTGAAGATTTGGAAAAAGCAAATTTATCTAAATTTCGTATTTTGTAAGTTAAAATCAATCGTCGAATGAAGAAATTATTCGTCTTTTTTTTCTTTCTTTTAATATTTCTATAGACCAGAATTGCAATTTTTGAATTTAACGGAATTCTTAGATAATTCTTCACTGTCATTAAATAAAACGAATCAAGATTCATTAATACCTATATTTATTCTTCTATTGATACTAATTATTGTTGGTGGTGGAATATTTTATATGTATAAAAAAAAGTACCAAATTGTATTAAAAGAATCTGATGATCCTGTCCTTGCACGATCATCTGTAGAATCACAAAATTCTATTATATCGAATGAGAGTTTGTTGAATGAAATTGTTTAAATAAAGACTACTTGTTTTTTTTTTGTTTTTATAAATAAAATAAAAAAATATGTAAAATGATGAATATAAATAATTTGATATTCGAAAACTGACATATTTTTTTTTCAAGAAAAAACCGCAAATCTGTTTGATTTATATGTTCATTGAAAAAATCAATTTTACTGACAGATATTTTTCAATATCATTCAACTATATTTCAGTCTTATGAGTATATGGGATTGTACATGAAATTTACTTTATTCACAAAATTTTGCTACTTGAATGAAAGTGACTATATTATAGTCAAGCCATATTTCACATTGTTGACAGTAACCTTAAATAATTCGTTAACTACTAAGTCTTTGATAATAAAATTATATCCAATGATAAGAACATTTCTATGTGAAATATTAAATTCGTTAGACAAAATATTCGAATTGACTTATTCTTTTCTCGTAACTTGATAGCGCGAAAGTTTTGATACAAAATATTCACGTATTTTTTTTGGACAGCTGGGTTAGATCTAGAAGTAGTTAATGACAGTCAGAATTTTTCTCTCTTTGTGAATATGTGTTTAGAGTTTTCTTCTGACACAAGATTGAACAACTATCATGAGATTGTTTCAAAATGTTTAAAATAGTACTTGTACAGAATATTATTTTAGTTAATTTTATATTTCGATTAAAACCTATCAAATTCAAAAGCAAAACAGTTATTTTTATGACTCAGTTTTGTATCTACAAAATGTGGTATGTACTTTTGTATGACAAATTTTACAACTTGTGTATTTTTAAAAGTAATTCTTTTTTATCAATGCCAATTTCCATAGAAACTAGCTCTTTAGTGGAAATGGATAGATAAGATTTCACTTGTTGTAATATTTCATTTTATACAGAATTCAACGCTCTAAAACAATGTTGAGTCGAAGCTGTTCCGAGGCCTAAGACTAAGTTTTGCACAA